CAGTCAACGAAAATCTAATGGACTTAAGGCTAAGCGACGCGTAACTCATCGGCAAACTTTTTTTATTTCTTTATAGTAGATTTACTAGCCAAGCGTTGTGATAATCTCTTTATCAACAAGCTTGTGTTCACCAATTATGTGTTAGTTAAGAGAATAAACTTTATTCATTAAACTGTTTTGGTCATTTTAAGGAGCCTGAATCATTGCGCGCACTTATGTTAAGCACGAAGCTCTTTGAGTAATAATTTTATGATTAAAATCTTGCTGTTCAACCTCTATCATACGATTTGGAGTACTTTAATACTTTGTTGATGCGCAGGAAAGACATTTGGAATAGGGAGAGTACACACATAGATGTTACCAGAATAAACAGTAAAAGGAAAACAAGCACGCGAGATACTGCCACAATTAGGATGATATAAGTCTTTGCATTTCACGAACTGCACTTCGTGACCACAAACCCACATAGTAGTCTCAAGCGCAATATTTAGAAATAAAACAAGACAAAAAGTAGCTATGTTGCACTGCTTATTCGAATGACATTTTCCAGTGATGTGACCCGTTCGGCCGGATAAACACCTGGATTGTAGATATGCTGTTTTGAATGTTGGGCATTTAGCAATAATGTGATCACCACTGCAACAAAAAGGTTTTACCATTCCGACCACTTTTTTGTATTTTATGTGTATAGCACGATGATGATTACCAGATGCCATGGTACTTGTCACGCTATATGTACCAGCTGAGTGCTGAAGTCTTATATCTTCCGCATTACCGGGGCACACCGCGTGCCATCAAAGTGTACGTCCCACTTCGACATTTTCTCCTGTTTCTAAGACTCGACTGTCTCTTCGATAACGCGTCATATCTCCACGGGCGGGGTGATATCCGCACGAGTGGCCGCGCGTTTCTCGGCATCGTGTGCCTTTTACAGTTCAAAGAGATAGAGCAACAATAAAAGCTGGGCTCTGTGTGCGAGATGCTAGACGGATGCGTAGGGAATAACGGAGAAGAGAACACTGTCGGTTCGAGAGGCGTACATAAACAACATAAAAAAAGAGACTTTTGGTTGTTCGGTCGGGTGTGCATCCCGACTTTGGTACTCAAAACACAGCTATGAAAACTAGTTTTCCTATTACTCAACTGCCCTCCTGCTCACTAGTTCTGTTTTAATAAAAAAAAAACAATACATATAATCGTCCCGATCTTAGCTTCCACAGGCCTTACTACTTAGTCATTTATTTTATTTTGACCAACTGACAATCAAACTTTGCTTAAACAAATAAAACACTATTTAAAACGTTCGTCACTATAAAAAAGGATGCGCACTGTTCTGTAGATTGCATGAGTCCGTTCTGACGAATATGTATTGGTACCCAATCATTTGGCGCCGTCCACATTATCCAAAAGAACTGGGTTGTACAGCACACGCAACCATGGCACACTAAGTATTCTGGAATAATTTTCCCCTCGACGCATTAGAGAGGAAGTCGACACCCACTTTTATGGAATGCCCGCATTCCGCTACCCCAATATTTATTAGTGTCATCAATTAATGGCTTTAAATTATACATATATTTGCCACAGACGCCACTACCAACGTAAAACAAAGGATGCAGACAAACAAACACCAAAGAATGTTTTTTCGAGGACAGTACACGATGAAACATACATACATACATACATACATTCTAGAAACGATAAAACAAGAACCTTCGATAGCGAACAAATCGATGCTTCTACGCTTTCGTCTGCGAGCAGCCGACTGCTATATAAGGGGACACTCAGCTGCCACGTTAAGTTAGTTACAAAGTGAGTCCGTTGGCGTTAACATCAGTTAAGTCGTAAAGTGAACGCGTGGGGAATTACATTTCAGTAGAGTAAATTGTGAATCACTGAGTAGATAAAGGACATTAGATAGAATCTTAATAACGAAAGAAACTGTTAAGTTGGCGAGTTTTATTTAACAATCCAGAGATCGTACCCGAAGGATTCAGGAAATCATCGAGGTTGATTTAGTAAAATCGTAACAATTGGTGTCAGAAGTGGGATTGTTAAATAAATCCCAAAGGATAATATTTGCA